TGTTTCTTCAAGTAAAGATTCTGAGACAAGACAGGGGAGCATTTCGTCTATTGTGGTGGGAAGACGGTGATATACGACGAACGGCTAAGGCAAGAGCAGCCCCCTCGAAGGTCCAAACTATACCGCGCTTGGAACTTACGACAGCAGTTTTGACAGCTCGCATGGGATCACAGCTGCAGTCAGAATTAGATATTAAGTTTGCAGAGGTTAATTTTTGGACGGATTCTATGATTGTCTTACACTATATTAGAAATGAGAAAAGCCAGTTTAAAACATTCATAGCAAATCGAATTTCGACTATTCAGAGTCTTACTAAGGTGGACCAAACGAGATTCGTACCTTCTAAAGAAAACATATCAGACTTTGCATCCAGAGGGGTCAAGTTTGACATTGATGATGTCAAGGTATGGGAGGAGGGTCCACGTTTTCTCAAGAAGCCGAAGGAGTGTTGGCCTGCCGATGATGTACAAGGTCCTGACCCTCATCTATTGGAAATAAAGAAAGTAATGTCGGCGCATATAATGGCTGAAAAATCCACTGTTGATCAACTTATTAATTATTATTCAGATTGGACTAGATTACTTAAGGCTGCTGCGTGGTTAACCCGATTTAAGCGATATTTACTGGTAATGCGTTCTGGTCAAACTGATCTGTCTCAACAGGTGGGTATGCTTAGATTTGATGGGTTAAATTTCGCTTGTTTAGATTTAATTCTATATGTCCAACGCATAGTATTTCGGAAAGAGATTGAAATGTTATCGTCTGATACCACTAGCAAGGTGAAGATAACGAATTCACCGTTACGAACTTTAAATCCAATGATGATTGGAAGATGGGCTTTATGTTCTGCGGACTCAAATAGTTGTTTGTGTGTGAATATGCAATGGTGCCTGAAGCCATGTGTTATGGTTATTCATTTTCTAAAAGAACTAGAAGGGTCCAATGTTACGATTTGGAATCAGAATAGAGAGTTCGCAGTAAATAAAGGAATTAATGGATTGGTCCTCTATACGTGTTTATATATCCATATTTACGTTAGTGTATATGAGCTTCTATGGAGGATGAAGCATTTTGTTAGATGGTTGATATTGCGATTGTTTATGTTGGCGCAAATATTTTGGAAACGTTTGTCTAAGGAATATGTTTCATTGTTGCAACTTAGACACAAATGGACTCAACCAGAGATGAACATAGGAGAGAGTAACTTGGTGGCGACATGTACTGGGTTTTTAGAGAAAGACAAATCGTTGTTAGGTCTGGTAATGAAAGTGACACCTAATAGTGATAGGTTAAGACCGATGGAGTTGCGGACAAGCGTAGGGATCTTGGTAAGAGATATTAGAAAACTGCGTCTAGAAGTTGTAAATATTAGGTAGCTACTCGGATCCCTAGGCGTACTGGTGTAAGTCCTAGGGATCACGAGATTGTTGGTATATTGAGTGTTTGTTGTTGATTGTTTGTGATGCATATACTTGGATTCTTGTTGTTTATTTATTTGTCTGAAAAGAACCAAGGTTCTTTTGGTCGGGAGTGTTACGGGAGAACTGAAGACATTTGGCGGATTAAAACCTTTTATTGTACATTAATAATTTACTGTGCTTTTGGATGTAATTGTTTTACTTAACTTTTGAACTTGTTTGTTTATATCATTACTTCGGACATTTTGGTTTGTCTTTGGTTTGGTATTTTGGTGCTCTCTTTGTCTTTGGTTTGGTATTTGGGAGTTTTGCTCCGGGAACCTACAAAATTGAAGGTTTGTTTTGTAATTGTTATAATTATTGTTATTAGAACGACATTTGGTCGATTACTTGTGAATTACGAATACATTTGGTATCTAAATTGGGACTTGGTTCTGTTGTTAATTTGGGTTCGTAATTTGCGAGTAGATCGATAGTCCGTACTTCAATAACTGGAACGAGCAAAACTTGGACGTAACATTAATCGTTTTAGTCAAGTCATTGATAGCTGACGACATGTTCAGCACCAGTGTATACAACCTATCACAGCTGAGAAAGGTCACTAGATGATGCAGGTTACTTACTGGTCCACTCTAGCGCCACCAACATGCTTACATTCCGATGCGGATGGTGATGTCTCTAATTGTGTCGAACTAATTCGTGAATATCTAAATAGTAATTAAACGTACTTGGCAATTGTCGATATCAATTTGTCGAAAACACGAAATTTGGGATATTGTACGCGGCTATTCCCAGCCTGCATCTCAGCCACATCCATGTCGACTGAATTGTAAAGAAAATCTTCTTTACGCTTCATTACACATCTAGGAAATGTAAGTAAGATTATTGTACAGACCTCTTTGGCTTCTCAGTGTTAAGTGGCAAAGTGTTTTCATTCGTTGAGGTGCTTTTTCGTTGAGATTCCAGTATCTGTAGGGCAACTAACAGATCTTTTGCCGACTGCAGAGAATCTATAGTGAATTATACTTTCTGTGTATGTAACCTACCTAATTCGTGAATCACTTTACATTTCATAAGTGACCAATTTTCATTCAGTTGGTCGCACTTCTGAAGGTGTATATCGACCAGCTCGTTCGGGAAAGCGCAAAGTTCCTTGCCTACCATCCACTCCTTGGATGCTATCATCAGTTGTTTTTTTCTGAAGACGTCAACAATGACGTACTTCTTGTTAGCGGGCTGAAAATAACATAAGACGTAAGTAAATTATTTGTCTTTATTTATTCAACAGTAGTGAAACAAAATGCATTTACAGCCAGGTATGCAGCAATGGGATAAGAACTAGATAATTCCTACAATTTATGGACATACATTTACAATCTCCCAACTACAATACACCTATCGCAACCTGCCTTACTGTTGTGGTTTACCGTGTACCTAACAGAAGAACGAGCTGGTGCGTCACATATAACAGCCGCCAACCTAATACCTATACATTTATTAAACTTAACACTAAAAAGACCCACGTCAGTCATTTCTTTCATTTCAGAAATTGTGTCCGCAGAAAATTCGTTGAATTCTGCCGGCTTACTATTCCCTCCGTAGATCTCTATCAGGAACACGTCACTAAACCTAGGAGCAATGATCCGTCCTAGTATAGGCCATAACTGTTGATTGGAGCTTCTAGATATAGAAAGTCCATCTATATTGAGATATAAATGTAAAGAGTCAAAATCAATAGTACGCAACCAAAGCTCAACGTATCTTAGCAGATTGGTTTTCAATCCTAGATGGTAGTAAAACTCACTGCCGATAAACTTTGGTTGAACACTTGGACACGTCTTTAGGACACCTCTTATGCTTTTCGGTATGTCCGGGATAAGAAATCGTAAACCATACAAAACCCAATCAGCATCTCTTATGCTGAGAGGTGTATTTGACATTAGATACATCATAAAGTCGTTCATCAGTTCTTTGCGATTTACGAACTTATGAGAGCACAAGTCCACTTCAGGAGATCCTATAAGATACATATTCACGTGTGAATTTAATATACGTACCACTACTATCTGGAAGCCTTTGGTTGATGTTGCTAGTGCATGGTGTCACAGTTGAAGTACTGTCATTACAACTGATTTCCGTCTTTACTTCTACCAATTTAATAAACAACACTGTTAAACTCAGTTACCTTTTAGGGTGCTTTCTTTAGCAAACTCACTGAACGAAAGGAAGTCATATTTTTTCATGAAAGCAGCTCTCATTTTATTCCACCTCCGATTATAAGTGGTTCTGTGACAACCAAGGGAACGTGACAAGTTAACAGTGGCCCTACGTCTACGAACATTCTCACTGACTTAAAGAAAAGTCATATTATTGGCCTAAGAAGGTAATCAGTCACAATGAACCTAAAATCCTGAGAGTACGTCACTCACCTGCATCACGTAAGTTTTTTGTGATGGCTCCCAAGCATGTCGGAACACTTTAGCTAAACAACAAAAGAAGTCACTCTATATGCGTATCGACCGAAAGCCTGGTTCCGTATTTTGTACATTGTTTCTATGACAATACTTTTGTTTTTTTATTAAGCGGTGCCTTAATTTGTCGAAGTTTATGAAAACTTCAGTTCCGGATGCGGTTCCTTCAAACACTGTACGTTACGTAGAATTGTCGACAAATTTCCCCCAAATATACGACGTAAGGGGGAAAAAGCGACATTTCCCCTTTATTTACGCTTTCGTCCGCTTTATTTCTCCTTTTTGTGTTGCTTGGGAATGAATTACCATCTTCCTTCAAGATGACGCGGATATTTGTAGTTTTACGACACTTTAACTAGTAACACCTATAATTGAATCGTGCCCACCCAGTGAAATCAATATTCAGAAGCGATGAGGTTCGAAGATGTATTTGGTAGGTTATCAATGTAAGGATCTAAACTGGCTAGCGGTTGCAAGAGAAGTTGAGCGCAGTGTTCTCACTTGTGGTCTCGTGCGGATGCATGACCGAGCGCCTTCATTTAAGTGAGTCCATTAAAAGTAAAATGGTGAGCATTCAATGTCGGAAACTTACAGAGCTATTGATTTTGGGGATTTATTTACCGCTACACCTTCCTGCACCATCTGTGAATGAATGTTTCATAAATTACCACGATCATGAATGACGGATATCAGTAACTAACTTCCGCTTCTATTATTAGCATCTCCACTCTCTCTTATTCGTGCAATTCTGTCTTCATATATCTTACCAATTCAACAACTTATTTATTTATAATTGAAACAATCATCTCTTTGCGTTCGAATTATAACTTTGTCGTTTTCACATCGCAATCAACCGACATCCTGCTTGGTAATGTGATAGTTACTGGCATCCAGAAACGCCGCTTTTCTGAGACAAATGTTCTCACTCAAACTACACGATATTCTAATGACTATCAGTCTGACCAGAATAAGTTCAATCAGATGGCTAAACCTTCAATTACTGTAGACTATCAGATAAATGGAACTATACCTGGATAAAAAGAAGCGAGTGCAAAGAAATCAATAGGTTTATACTAATATATTGAAGATATATTGCGGACGACCTTAAAGTATGAATATATTTGAAACTGGGCGTTACAGTGACGTTTAGACTGGGAGTATGCTTTAGAGACAAACCAATCAGAAATCCGAATATCACGTAAAATTATCAGTAAAATCATCTTTATATTCTGTTCAGGATGCAGAATTATTCCTTAGAACCATCTTAAGAGATGATAATGCTGAACATATTGCACACCTAATTTTGTCAATTTTGGTGGTAAACAAAATCGGAAAATCGACAATACCTTTAAGTTGTCATCTTAAACCCTTATTTCTGAAGCGAAAATTAATCTTTTAGAACTACATTTTATGGACGAATCAATCAGATGGTTTCTCTTGTGCTTCTGAGCAAAATTCACGTCATGGATTGTGTCATTTCTTAGTAAAAATCTAGACTGTAAACCCTTAGTCTTTACTCGGAACACCCAATTTTAACCAGGAAAACATGTCGAGGTCCTTCAAAGAGTTCCACAATCTATATCTATAACGATGTGTCAATATATCGTTTTTTATATTTATAGATAGAATAGCCGGTAGAAGACATTGATCGTCTTATATCATATCAGTTCGTGCTGTGGAATATTACTATTTTCTTCACAGACTATCCATCTACAATGGCTGTATCCTGACTGACTAAGAACTATTTGGGAATTCGTAATGGTTGTATTAAGATTGTTCATAAATTATACTTTTATTGTCACAAAAACATAAATCTTGGTTCAAGATGAAGCTACGGATCTTCGTCTCTTCCGAAACTTTTATGTCACCTGGAAGTAGTAATACGACGGGTCAAGGTAGGCAAACTCCAGTGGTTTGAACGCGATGTCAGAGACCGGTTTTCGGAAGTAAATGATTTAACCATAGGGTCCAAAGTCTGATAATCCACCCTAACACAACCATGTACAAATCTACAGAAGGGGTCTAATCTTCTGCACCTACTAACATGTAATTAGTTTTACAAGAGTTATGTAGGTTACAGATCAACTCGTTGATCAGCATTTGAAGTTTATTTTAAATACAGTGTTATTTACTATTCTAAGTGAATGCGTTTTTGCCCCGGTTTAGTATTTCCATGACTGTTTTGGATATCAGCAGTGGTTAGAGACCAGATGTTATGAAATGAAGTTGCAGTGACATCGACATTTCTGGTCTTCAAAATTATACTATAATAACCATAACAAGTTTGTTGTTTTTTCCTCCAAGTCTTCAATTTCGCTTAAATCATCATTACTGTATTTTCGTCTTGTCTGGACTTTGTTAATATTAGTTAGAAAAACGTAATCTAGTTTGAACCTGTTTCGTACTATATATTGTTAGTGTCTATTCTACTACCAAACTCACCGTTTACAGGTAGCATTTATTTGTATGTAACTGGTTACATTTAGTTGTGTCTCATTTCAGTTTTTTTTTGTGAGCATCACTATTTTTTATTCCTCGTGGTCTGACTAGTTAGCAAACATCATGTCTTACCTAATTGTACTTTTTGTATTATTTTAGATAAAGATGATCTATACACCTCTATCTATTTTTAAAGACGGTAAAAAGGCTTTGTATACTAGTGTCCGCTTACAGATATAAAGAAGGCTGTTATTTACTTAAATCATCCAACATCTTTACCGGCGACACTTTTTAAACGACTATGGAAAAACGGTATTATCTCCTATTCATAATAGCTTTGTTTCTTTTATTCAGCTTATCCTGTAGCTTTTGTAGATGGGTTTGCAAACCATATTTACAGAAATATAAATTACAGAACTAATTATTTCCCACATTTTTTAACTGGAGATTTTGATTCTATTCAACCAGAAGTTTTGGAATTTTATCGTTCAGCAGTAAGATTCTTCATTCTTCGTAATATTCTAGCGACTATGATCAGAAGAATGTTGCAGTCATCGAAACACCTGATCAAGAAGAAACTGATTTCACAAAATGTTTACGTATAATTATCAATAGTATAGAACAAAACAATGCAAGTCGCGTATAGTTGAACAATTAATTTGAGCGTTCAGGCGGAATTAGATGTGCTCGTTGCAGTGCAAATGAGCGGTGGAAGGTTCGATCATGAAATGGGATTAATTAAAACTCTATATGAAGCAAAGAAGTTAACTAACATTCCATTGCTTCTGGTGAGCGAGTGCTCAGTTACGTTCTTGTTGGATGAAGTAAGTGTCCATTTTTGCATATCATCTAATCTTGTAACAACACTTTAGGGTGAACATACTATACATGCTAGCACAGGATACGAAGCACAACATGTAGGTTTAATACCTGTTGGACAACCATGTCAAGTAACAACTACAGGTCTTCAATGGAACTTGGGTAATTTTTTGTCAAAATTCTGGACAATTATTGTGATAATATTGCCGTTAACATATTGTTGAAGAAACATAAAATCTGACTAATCTCTGGATGGTAAGACTACAATCCATGGACAACCTTTAAGTAACGTTAAAATGACCTTGGAATATCCACCTACTTACTGGGGTTAAATTAGGGTTATATATTAGTGTAATGAACTAGGATTAGGATTTACAGTGGAATAGTACGGTTAGGAATTAGATTGAATGTTTTCATCACGTACTGACATAAGCTAAAATGCCAAAACGCTATTTAGCCAAATGAGTGAATGAATTTCGTGCCAAAATCTAAGATCCACTATCTCAGATGTGATTGGTATGTCCATAAATTATAGTCTCTCCCCTCTGGATCAGTTGATATTGTTACACTGAAAATCGTTACTTTCTACTATAATTGAATATAAGTCATATGCATCATAAACATCTAATAATCTACAACACAAATTGAGCTGTACGTAGATAGCACAAAAGAATAAGTTATTTAACACATACTCAATCTGTAAAATGATCATTAATTGATCATTTACCTGATCTGTTGGATAAAGAAAGATCATATTATCATAAAGACACCTTGGTTATATTATGAAACGCAGCTACCGGATCCCATTATTAATGACCGATTAGAAGAATAGTCTTCATTGCTTAGGTAAACAGTAACAAGGATTAGCAAGTGTTACAACTAGAATATTCCCATAAGAATACTTTATTCTGATTGTCTGAACACTTTTACACATATATGATATATATTAATAGTATCTATGTTATTTTCCTCTACTATCGTTTAATAGATAATGGGACACTCTCATTTGATGATATTGTTTCAACTTCGAATCGATTATTAGATGAAATTGTCTATATAAAGTGTAATCGACCTTTACTTTTTACTATGGAATATAAAAATGATATGATTAACTAGCTTGAATATATGCATAGATCATTATGTTCTTGACTAGCCAGTGATAATATAAGTTGAAAAGGTGAGACATTCATTACTTCCTTCAATGATTGCAATTCAAAACACATTTTAATAAAAAGATAGTGACTTTTTATTTGAAATATCTTCGTTAAGTTCTTAATTCTCATGACTATTTGATGTTTATCGTGATCATCAATAGGACTAATTTCACCTATGTGTGTCAGTCATATTTATCATAAGCTACTATGTGAGCATCGATATTGAGATTTCCCACAATGTATGTATACCCTAAGATATTTAGTATTGTTTCTACCATGATGTGGTGGTCGCGCTTACCTATCGTGATGACCAATCAAGCTATACTGACTGGAACAATCGTTCCTCAAGGTTCTATCATGCCAGACAGGTCGGTTCAAGAGCGGTAAGACTAAAGGCAACAAACCCAAAGTCTGAAGGCGAAGTCGTACTGCTGACTGTACAGAGATGTGACAGCAGTAAGGTGTTCCCTTCAGACAACAAGCATAACAGTGATGCTATCTTCCCACAAAGGAAGGTTGGCGTTAGAAAAGGTCGACCTTAGAAATGCACATCTCGCCTTATCCCACGAATATCTGTCGCCGGCGGTAAGGTCTCAACAAGTACGGAGGTAACACGAAAATTACTCGCAAAAAAATTGTGTGACCGACTTCAAGCAGTTGTCTCTTATGCACTACGGTCACGCTCTCAGGTCACTGAGATCACTTCTAACCATATTTCCTTTTCAGGTACCTCTAGAAGAACCCTTCCACAGTGTGAGCAACCGGGAAATGATAACCGCCCTCGTACCTTTAACAGCATTGTAATTCATGAATTAATACTGATGAAGTGGTCACTGTTTGTAAGCAGGTTTTCATTTAGAATGATAAATCATTCAAGAAATTTCATTGTATATAAAGAAGCTTGAATCAATTTTGTTTTTTTTTTAGAAAAGAACTCATCATCATACATATTGTAGAAAGTCAATACAATACATAAACATGCTTGTTTCAGTTGAATAAATTGAAGGTAATTTAATTATTAAACTGAAATATCACAAAGTAATACTGAGTTTATGTTATTTCATTTGAACAAAAAAAAACACAACATATTTGGATATTCCCAACTGAGCTCATTGTAATGGATGAGTTTCTTGTTTAGGTAAATCGTATAAGATATAATGAAGTGCTTTGGATAATTGTGCAGAGTCATATGCTAGAAAATAATTTTTTTTTAAAAAAAAGTTAAATATTATCATAGAGCGATAGACAAAACACAAAGATATCGATTGATTTATACTAGTAGTGAGATTGTGTAGCACATGGATCCCAGTTCAAAAATTTATATTTTAAACAAGACTACTGTTACTATGATCGTTTTTGTAATAGAAGCGGTTTTTATTATGGTCCATCGGTTAGACTATAGTTTGTGGATAACCTTTGAGTGACCTTGAGAGTGTTCACCTAATAACTAGGACCAAATGAGGTTTATGAACTAGTGTGAGGAATTAGAATTATGATTTACAGTTAATGATTAGGGGTTTTCATCACAAACTGAGATAAACTACAATGCCAAAACTCCATTTAGCCAAATGAATGAATGAGTTTCGCGCCAAAATCTAAGACCTGTTATCTTATATCTGATTGGTTCGTCCATAAATTATAGTCTCGCCGGTCCATCCTACATATAATTAATTACTGATATGGGATGACAAGTGTCTTGTAATGTTCTATTGTACAATTGATAGATGTTTGTGTTGTGTATTAGTACTAGTAATTATCTAAATTTATGAAATGTGATCCGGTTCAGAATGCGATAAAATATAATAGGGAATAGAAGTTAATGATAATCATACCATAGTATTTGGATATTTCCTATGGAAAGTACAACGGAATATTACATCATATCTAACACCCAACTGATCTTGCACGATTTTTGCATTTTTATTTCTACTACTTAATAATATTCAGTAGTTTGTGTTATTATCAATCATTTCGAGACTTGTGATATGATTATGTGTGCTATCATTAGGGATTCTAGATCTTCAGAATTCACTTGGTAAATGTCTTATTTTGGGAATTTAAATATTTGTTTTTGGGAATAAAGCATTCATTTTCTTCTTCATATCGTATTTCCCATTTGGAAGGACCTTAAATATCATTGGTTCATTGTCTCTTTTAATATACTGTTTTGTAATGTTTCCCTAGGACATTTTTATATTGTATATATATATACGCTTGAGTTATGCTTTTGGTTGTTGTTCGTTATGCTTCTGGTTGCTTGTGGAATATATTTTCCCTCTTCTAAACCTGGAGTTCTCTCTCTAGTTAGCGGGTCTGGGACACATCGGAATAATTAGCTTATTTGGTTATTATGTTGCTGAGTGCCCCCAAATGCTGAGAGTGGGGAGAGTTCCCTCTCCCTCTCCAAATGCTCTCACATGGCCACGCGTATACAGTCCTATTCACTGCCTTCTCGTGGTGGGGGTGTTGTTTACGAAGTTGAGAGAATGAAAAGCGAATGTCCGTCGCTTTAACCGGGTTGGTGGACATGAAGAGTCTTTATTCTGTTCGCAGATTTAGGTGAACTCGTAATTTCTTCAAACATAGCAGCTGTTCACTGAAAATGTATGGATTCTGTAAAACTTGTTTTATTTTCTTAATTGCTAATGCTTGGTTGACAGCCATATACTGTTCACTAGTTTACAGCATATGCTGTAATTTAATGCATTTGAAGATTGTAACTTCCTTTCAGCTGTATCTGTGACTGTGTTGTCGATTTCCAGACGCCATAAAATTCGAAGTTTTTAAATTTTATTAGTCATATTGTTTCTGATCAATGCAGATTTTCGATCCCGAGGATTTACGGGTACCCGACTATTGAGTTTTTAGGACGTTAAAAAGGAGTTCTAATTGTCTGTAATACAGAAATTAGTACTTAAAAATCATTTACCAATTAAAAAATTAAGTAAATTATAGATTGGAAGTAGTTCGTATGAGTTAGCAGTTGAGTAATAGACAATTGTTTTGTTGAAAACGGGACTTCTCAACAGTGTATGATTATATGAACCATATTTGAAGCATAAAAAGCAATATTTAAGTTTCATTAGTTCATAACATCTTCAATCCAATACTCTACTTAACGTCATCAGAATGGTTCTACATTCGAGTATTGGAGTGGATTGCCTGACAAACTTGCCAATAATAGCCTTACATGCTTTGTAGAATAATAAGTTTTGAGGCACTTATAGTATACATGATACCTTGCATGGGGGTGTGTGTGTGCAGATATTATATGGCTGTTGAAACCAACATTGATTATTGGTCTGTGGTCCGTGTTGATAAGTGTAGATTACCTGGTTGGAGATGGGTGAGAACCAATCACAGTAGCACAGATGTATTCAGTTTTATCCTCCTCTAGATTTTTGGCCCTAGTATCCTTTCATACATACCTTTTCATTCCGTCTTCGCAAACTGTATTATCAATGTATAGTCTTTCCCACTATCATGGGTATTATGATTATTTGGACTTATTTGGTATTCATCTTGTCGAATTCATATTGTTGTGTTGATTTAAAATGCATGTTTATACCAGGCTATATATTAATTACGACTGTTTAGAAACAGAATTGAATAGAAGAAGTTTCAATTCAATGACGTAATAGCTAATAACAATAAGCTATTGTTTGATTAACAATATTATTATTATTTGAACACATAGATAGTGGTACAAGGAGGCACCAAATACATATGCGCCACACAAATCTCATTTGATTTGTGTGAGGACTGTGATACTGCCCGGGTGCCCAAACCGAAGCAGGGGGATTTCTTAGGGGGCCACACCCGGAGCCTTCGGCCTGAAGGTCTGATCTACAAGGCAGTGGAGCATCGTAAGGAGATGCAGTCCCATGGTAGCCGGTGACCAACGATTGGTTCATACGCCCTTTGTTTCCTCAGGATACTGGAGCCCACGTGCACCATTGGTTTGGAACCAGGGTTTTCCAACTCCCCTAGGTGGACTCTCTATATCCACGAGCTTATTCAAAGCGTCGGACATTCACTCTTCGTCCTCTCAAGTCCGTAAAGAACACCCCTGCCACGAGAAGACAGAGGCTATATACGCGTGGCCATGTGAGAGCATTTCGAGAGGGAGAGCGGACTCTCCCCAATCTCGGCCGTACCAAGGCGGTCCGGGTAGCCCAGCGGTGACGTCTCTGACTGTAAAGCTGGGCGACACTGGATCAAATCCGTCAGAGTGCACCAGTTCCCTCAAGATTATAGGCACACCTTGTTGATGAGTGCCAAGTAGCACGTTTAATTAATAGATTTATCGCATACAAAAATTTATATGACTTTTGATAATACATTAGGACTCAGTATCTAAGTAGATAACGCGATGGCGTTTGAAGCGAACGGTACTAGATTTGAGTCTCATTAGTGAAAATCAACTCTAAGATATAGGTAAATCCAGCTGACGAGTCTCGAATAGGACGAAATGCACCTTGTCCTGGATTTCACTGTTAGCCATTATTCATCTTTGATTAGAATGTTTGTGAATTAGGGCAATATTGAGACAATCCGCACAAGATGCACATATGTCAACAAGAGACTGATGATCAATGAGAAGATTCAAGTAAACTAATACCCGAATGAATTCAACACTTACCATTCCTAGCTATCTTGTATAACTAATGAGACTAACATATATAACATTTAAATTCTACTGTGTACAACTTACGATCAACATTTTTTGATTGGAATTTCTTCACTAATATATGATCATTTAATATGGTACTATGTAAACTTTGTGCAGCAACATTATTTAAGCATAAATTATAATAAATTAATGTATTACGATCAAATGTTGAATAGATTAATACAGGTGAATTTCGACCAGGTTCTATAGCATATAAACCAGCTGTAAATGCTTGACATGAACGTCCTAATGGAAAACATAATGAATTATTATTTATATCAAATATATATGTAGTACCATCCCATGAACAAACAACTAATTGATCACCATCATCTTTCTAATAATATAGAGAAGAGAAAATAAGAGAGTTACAAAATTATATATATAGATTAGTCATTAAGGATAATTTGGTGTACTTAATCTTGAGTCATGATTTCCCATATCTATTGCTTATCTGTTTAACTAACCGATCAGAATAAGGATAAGACAAGTTCTGAACTAACAGGATCCAGTGATTGATAGTTGAATGCTTGAATATCTGGGCTACCTGTTTCTGCCATCTGATTATTTCAACAAGTTATCTGTTTTTCATTTGTTTTAATTTATAATTATGTCCATTAATCCCATAACCTATTCAGGCGCTTTTATGAAAACCTTACGACCTTTCGCTGCACAAGTTAAGAAAAAGTACTATAAAAGGCATCGTGGTGGTTGGCAATATGCGTTAAAGAGAATGAACATTAATCGTATGTCAATTCCCGAGCTTCTTAATTCTAACTGCCGATCATTAATCAACAAAGTGGACTATCTGCAATTCCTGCTTAGTCAAAATACGTATCGTAATTGTGGTGTCATCACAATTCAAGAATCTTGGTTGAATGATTTACAGGATGACTGCCTTGTATCACTACATGATTTCAAAATTTATCGTCAGGATCGATCGAACAATAAAAAAAGGTGTGGTGGCGGTGTAGCTACGTTTGTAAACATAAACTGGTGTCGATCTTCGTCTGTGTGTTTTAAGTTTTCAAATGACTTTATCGACTGTCTAACTCTAAGATGTCGTCCAAAACATCTGAATAAATACAAATATGTTTATGTTACCAATATCTACGTGACTCCAGATTGCACATCATCTGCACTATCTGTTTTCGCTGATGAATTCACTGAGTTCGCTGTTACTGCCTTCAGTGATTCACTTTCAGTTGTATGTGGTGATTTCATTTCATGTGATTGTAGCTTCCTTACGTCACTAGGCCTCCAAAAACCAGTAGATTTTCCTACTCGTTTGGATGCTCATCTAGACTTCGTCTTCATTAATGATGTGGGTATATATGCGACTCGTAAACGTGCTCCATTGTCTAGCTCGGATCACTGTATAATTCGTGTTCTACCTAAAGTGATATGGAAAGCATTGGAAGAGTACACTCTTACGTCGAACCAGGAAAGTCAAATATAGAAATTACTCAGAAGAAAATATCCGAAATCTGAAAAACATGTTTCATACGACTAACTGGGAATTATTTACAGATGACTCACTCGAAAACACTACTGATGTTATCACTTGTTACCTTAAATTCTGTTTTGATATTTGTTGTCCCACTGAAACCATTTTTGTAAGTTTTGATCGGCTTACATCTTCACAACTAAAACGACTACGGAGGATTAAAGAAAGAATGTACAAAGAGAAGAACTCAAATGAAGTTTGTAAGCTAAATGGTCTGATAAACCTAGAGATTAGACGTCTCAACTGTATGTTTACTCAAAAGCTCTTATCTTGCAAAAACTCTCCAAGTATGTGGAAACTCTTTAAAGAACTTACAGGTGACAGACAGTTTAGAAGCGATAAACAGCTGAATGTCTGTGACTTAAATAAGTCTTTTGTACGCCAGTCATCTGACGTGATGCTCCCTCTATCCACGGGTTTAAAAAATAGCTGTGTTCCTGCTTTCACTGAAACTGATGTACGAGGATGTCTCCAGTCGCTTAATTCATCTCGATGTTTGGGTCCTGATGGTATCCCAAACCTCCTTTTTAAAAAATGTGCTGACGTTCTGTGTCATCCGTTCACAACTATATTTAACAGATCCTTCTCATCTAATCTCATACCGAAAATGTGGAGAAAGATGAAGATAATTCCTGTACCCAAGAAAGCATCCGGTGATAAGAATGTAAAATTTAGACCTATTGCAATAACTTCACCCTTCCTCAAAACAATGGAAAAATTATTAATACTTCCACTTCAGCCTGTGATAAAAGAGCATACTGACCCATACCAGTTCGCATACAGGCGCAAAAGAAGCACTTTAGATGCTGTTGCAGTTCTGCATCACAACATAGTGTTCAACTTAGAAAAGGGTAAGAACTATGTTCGATGTGCTTTTCTAGACTATACTTCAGCTTTTGACTCTATACCAAGACAACGTTTACTTAACAAGTTAATCAGCGTCAACACTGACAGCTGGATAACCAACTGGCTGTGTTCCTACCTCTCTGGAAGGGAACAGTACACTGTGTTTGGAGGAAAGAGTTCAGAGTCTCTACTGTCTCATGAAGGTGTACCACAAGGAGCTGTTCTTTCACCTCTTCTATTCTCTTTTTTCTGCATGACCTGCCATCTTCCACAGAAAACACTTTTGTGAAGTATGTGGATGATCTCACTGTATGTATGCCTATATCTTCCTCTTTACATCCCGTAGAAATGAATGAGTTTTTGTCTCGTATTGATTGTTGGCCTGTTGGTAATGGTCTCATACTTAATCCGTCTAAATGTCAAGCTGTTAACTTTAGCATGAGACATGAACGGAACCTAAACACCATTTTGAGATCCCATAGTGCTTGTACCATCGGAGACTCTTTGATAAACTCAGTGTCGAAGGTCAATTATCTTGGTGTCACCTTTTCCTCTGATTAGTCTTGATCTTCCCACGTTTTATCGTTATCGAAGAAGATTTTCCGTCTGACCTACTACATAAAGAGATTGCATACTCTTGCGATTACTCGTCATTTACTCTTACAATTTGTGAATTCTTGCATATTACCTATTATTCTTTACTGTTCTCCATTATTCTTTCCCGGGCTTTTGAGAAAAGACTTTGCTGTATTGCGAAGAGTGCTGAAGGCAGTTAGCAAGGTGTGTGGTGAATCTTTCGAGGTCATAATTAATATGGTTGTGGACAGACATTTAAAATCATGCAAACTCCTGGCAGGTGTTATTTTATCAGATACTAGCCATCCCCTTCACTCTTATCTTTCTCCTTGTATATCTCCTGGTAGAACTAGACGTAATTACATTAAAATCCTTGCACGCAAGGAAAAGTATAAAAGTTCTATAATACCTTACCTATCAAATATACTCTGTGACGAACAGGTTGTTAGAGTTAACCTAGTCAATAACTTACATTCTTAACATGTCTTTAATTTTAAAAGTTTGTAGTTTCTTTTGGGTTTTTTTTTTAAAATTTTTATTTTATATATTTCTTTATGTATTCGCTACTGCCTTTTTTGTTCGTTGTTCAGTAAGTAACTTGTTGAAATACCCCGTGCTGAGAATTCTATATTGTACCAAAACTATAATATTGGGGTTGTACAATATATCTACTTTGTGTTCGTGTAGTTATCTATGCATTGAATGAAGTTGGTATTATCAAGTTGAGTTCTGTAAGCCAAATAGTTTAAACTCTAAATGTCCGTTGTCGTTTTGGATAACACCATTGACGATTACTTATTCTGGAAGTTTAAAACTGTTATAAGTCCTTAACTCCATGAATTAGACCTCCACTTCCTTGTAGTATATATAATATACATTGAATTATGTGACACATATTTAGGAAAGCACTTAACTTCATCACAAGTCAAGCGCTCACTTGGAATCCTCAAGGCCAAAGGAAAAGAGGAAGACTAAAGAACATATTACGTCGAGAAATGAAGACAGATATGAGAAGAATGAAAAATAATTGGATAGAACTAGAAAGGAAAGCCCAGGATAGAGTAGGTTGGAGAATACTGGTCGGCGGCCTATGCTACATTGAGAGACATTTATACTCTAAGGGAGTGAGTGATTACCTATTAGAAGTACTTTACAAAAGTAGGATAAAATTGAATTCAAACGACCTATGTATAACATAGTTTACTTATCATTAAGTAACATATTACTATTTATTATTATTATTATTATTAATGGCTTTATTCAATATTATAGTTTTGGTACAATATAGAATTCTCAGCACAGGGTATTTCAACAAGTTACTTACTGAACAACGAACAAAAAAGGCAGTAGCGAATACATAAAGAAATATATAAAATAAAAATTTTAAAAAAAAAACCCAAAAGAAACTACAAACTTTTAAAATTAAAGACATGTTAAGAATGTAAGTTATTGACTAGGTTAACTCTAACAACCTGTTCGTCACAGAGTATATTTGATAGGTAAGGTATTATAGAACTTTTATACTTTTCCTTGCGTGCAAGGATTTTAATGTAATTACGTCTAGTTCTACCAGGAGATATACAAGGAGAAAGATAAGAGTGAAGGGGATGGCTAGTATCTGATAAAATAACACCTGCCAGGAGTTTGCATGATTTTAAATGTCTGTCCACAACCATATTAATTATGACCTCGAAAGATTCACCACACGTCTTACTAACTGCCTTTAGCACTCTTCGCAATACAGCAAAGTCTTTTCTCAAAAGCCCGGGAAAGAATAATGGAGAACAGTAAAGAATAATAGGTAATATGCAAGAATTCACAAATTGTAAGAGTAAATGACGAGTAATCGCAAGAGTATGCAATCTCTTTATGTAGTAGGTCAGACGGAAAATCTTCTTCGATAACGATAAAACGTGGGAAGATCAAGACTAATCAGAGGAAAAGGTGACACCAAGATAATTGACCTTCGACACTGAGTTTATCAAAGAGTCTCCGATGGTACAAGCACTATGGGATCTCAAAATGGTGTTTAGGTTCCGTTCATGTCTCATGCTAAAGTTAACAGCTTGACATTTAGACGGATTAAGTATGAGACCATTACCAACAGGCCAACAATCAATACGAGACAAAAACTCATTCATTTCTACGGGATGTAAAGAGGAAGATATAGGCATACATACAGTGAGATCATCCACATACTTCACAAAAGTGTTTTCTGTGGAAGATGGCAGGTCATGCAGAAAAAAGAGAATAGAAGAGGTGAAAGAACAGCTCCTTGTGGTACACCTTCATGAGACAGTAGAGAATCTGAACTCTTTCCTCCAAACACAGTGTACTGTTCCCTTCCAGAGAGGTAGCAACATAGCCAGTTGCTTATCCAGCTGTCAGTGTTGACGCTGATTAACTTGTTAAGTAAACGTTGTCTTGGTATAGAGTCAAAAGCTGAAGTATAGTCTAGAAAAGCACATCGAACATAGTTCTTACCCTTTTCTAAGCTGAACACTATATTGTGATGCAGAACAGCAACAGCATCTAAGGTGCTTCTTTTGCATCTGTAAGCAAACTGATACGGATCAATATGCTCTTTTATCGCAGGCTGAAGTGGAAGTATTAATAATTTTTCCATTGTTTTGAGGAAGGGTGAAGTTATTGCAATAGGTCTAAATTTTACATTCTTATCACCGGATGCTTTCTTGGGTACAGGAATTATCTTCATCTTTCTCCACATTTTCGGTATGAGATTAGATGAGAAGGATCTGTTAAATATAGTTGTGAACGGATGACACAGAACGTCAGCACATTTTTTAAAAAGGATGTTTGGGATACCATCAGGTCCCAAACATCGAGATGAATTAAGCGACTGGAGACATCCTCGTACATCAGTTTCAGTGAAAGCAGGAACACAGCTATTATTTAAACCTGTGGATAGAGGGAGCATCACGTCAGATGACTGGCGTACAAAAGACTTATTTAAGTCACAGACATTCAGCTGTTTATCGCTTCTAAACTGTCTGTCACCTGTAAGTTCTTTAAAGAGTTTCCACATACTTGGAGAGTTTTTGCAAGATAAGAGCTTTTGAGTAAACATACAGTTGAGACGTCTAATCTCTAGGTTTATCAGACCATTTAGCTTACAAACTTCATTTGAGTTCTTCTCTTGTACATTCTTTCTTAATCCTCCGTAGTCGTTTTAGTTGTGAAGATGTAAGCCGATCAAAACTTACAAAAATGGTTTCAGTGGGACAACAAATATCAAAACAGAATTTAAGGTAACAAGTGATAACATCAGTAGTGTTTTCGAGTGAGTCATCTGTAAATAATTCCCAGTTAGTCGTATGAAACATGTTTTTCAGATTTCGGATATTTTCTTCTGAGTAATTTCTATATTTGACTTTCCTGGTTCGACGTAAGAGTGTACTCTTCCAATGCTTTCCATATCACTTTAGGTAGAACACGAATTATACAGTGATCCGAGCTAGACAATGGAGCACGTTTACGAGTCGCATATATACCCACATCATTAATGAAGACGAAGTCTAGATGAGCATCCAAACGAGTAGGAAAATCTACTGGTTTTGGAGGCCTAGTGACGTAAGGAAGCTACAATCACATGAAATGAAATCACCACATACAACTGAAAGTGAATCACTGAAGGCAGTAACAGCGAACTCAGTGAATTCATCAGCGAAAACAGATAGTGCAGATGATGTGCAATCTGGAGTCACGTAGATATTGGTAACATAAACATATTTGTATTTATTCAGATGTTTTGGACGACATCTTAGAGTTAGACAGTCGATAAAGTCATTTGAAAACTTAAAACACACAAACGAAGATCGACACCAGTTTATGTTTACAAACGTAGCTACACCGCCACCACACCTTTTTTATTGTTCGATCGATCCTGACGATAAATTTTGAAATCATGTAGTGATACAAGGCAGTCATCCTGTAAATCATTCAACCAAGATTCTTGAATTGTGATGACACCACAATTACGATACGTATTTTGACTAAGCAGGAATTGCAGATAGTCCACTTTGTTGATTAATGATCGGCAGTTAGAATTAAGAAGCTCGGGAATTGACATACGATTAATGTTCATTCTCTTTAACGCATATTGCCAACCACCACGATGCCTTTTATAGTACTTTTTCTTAACTTGTGCAGCGAAAGGTCGTAGGCTTTTCATAAAAGCGCCTGAATAGGTTATGCGATTAATGGACATAATTATAAATTAAAACAAATGAAAAACAGATAACTTGTTGAAATAATCAGATGGCAGAAACAGGTAGCCCAGATATTCAAGCAGGCCGCCGTTATATATATATATATATAGTAGTATAAAAATAACAACTTACAGTTAATTTCATTTTACACAAAGCAAATAATTCACTACGTGTATGCACTTGAATTGACCATATAATTAATTCCTCATTATCATTACCATGTATTGTTGGATCGACAAGTCGCATATTTCCATCAGCCGTACATAAACAAAGTAAACATGATGTCTTATTTGAGTTAATAGTAGTAGTAGTAGTAGTATTGTTATTATGACAATTTGAATGTTTCACATTACCAATAAGCCATGTACGTGTTTCTAAATTATTAGAACTTGTTACACGTGGAGGATAATAGGTTAATGTTGGTCTATTGAAAATAACAATATCATCATTAAATTGATATAAATATGAAAGAAAATATAAAGTTAATTTAATGGGAGAAGATAAAGCCTGGAAATATTGGATGACCATTTCGTTCTATTGTGGGACTCCTCAGCAGTGGGCACCCACGATCTCTCTCATGGCGTTCGAACCCAGAGCCTTTAGTTTCACACTCGAACGCTTAACCTCTAGACAACTGAGCCGGCATCCAACGGTGTTAATGTCTAACTTCAACTTCATGACCTAAATCAAAAACTTAATGTTCTCCACAACCCTATACTGATAATTACCATGTGCTCATTAGTGACTAGCTTCATGAGGGAATTTCCAGATTTATTGTAGGGAGTCGTGACCAGTGGAGCTAATCCGTGTCGGGTAGAGACCGGTATCTACTTCAGTACAATGGAAGATGGTCGCGTAATTTCGTGGACTGGTTGAAGGTAAATATCAACACCGTTGGATACCTGTCAGCTCAGTGGTCTAGAGGTTAAGCGTTCGCGCGCGAGACTGAATGTCTCATGAATTCAACTATTAAATAGTAGTATGTTAAGATTTCCCTTTATTTTTTCACAGAACATGGAAACATTTGTGAAAACATTAAGATAGTAATTGTAGATTATATTCGGTTTGCTAGACCCGGATAGAGAGTGATGGTGGGCGGACTATGCTCCTTCACGACGGTTAACAGGCGTAAGTAATATTCGGTTTGCAAAAAAAGATAATTAACTCTAGGCAGGTGAATTTTTTTATTAACTAAATTGGTGAATGACTTGATATCGTCAAGGAAACATATAAAACCTATATGTATTATCAACTTATAGTGACCATCGTTAAACATCTGTAGAACGTCAGTGAACTGTTTGTTATAGAGTAAACCTATTGTTTGACAAAAAACTAGATAATTCACCGCTGTGGTGTGAGTTTGCAAAATCCAAATGAAGGCCTTACTAAGTATACTTGCTTAGGGCGGGCCATAGAATAACTCCATAATGACTGAATCTTTACTGATGTAGATGAAATATAAATTCTACTTACATCATATATTTTCTGTGGACCAATACTGATAATGATACTCCGGGTACAAAAGTCAAAAACTAGTGTTTTGAATATGTATATTCCATACATTAATTTCTGCGGATGGACGAAGAGAGGTTAAAAGTGCCTATTGAAAATACCATCCAATGCAAGCGTTAATATAGCCTAAAATGTCCCCCTGGTGCGGCCGAGGGTGGAGAGAGTCCACTCTCCCTCTTACATGACCACGCGTATACAAAGACTGCCAGGGAAGTCCTACTCACTGCCTTCTTGCGACACGCCTGTTTACGAAATTGAGAGGACGAAAAGCGAATGTCCAGCGCTTTAACACAGTTGGTGGACACGGAGGATCCACCTAAGGGAGTTGAAAGACCCTGATTCCAAATCAATAGTACACATGGGCTCCAGGATCCTGAAGGAACAAATGACGTATGAACCAATTATTGGTGACCGGTTATCATGAGAATGCATCACCTGACATTGCTCCATTGTCTTGTGGATCAGACTTTTAGGTCGAAGGCTCAGGGTGCGGGTCCTTCAAGAAAACCACCAGTTTCAATCTGGGCATCCAGGAAGTATTCTAGCCCCTATACAAATCGAATGATTTATGTGCCATATATATATTCGGTGCCCGTTTGTACCAATGTTTATGCGTTCAAACAAAATAATAATAATTACGGTTATTGTAATGTAAACACTTAAAATCGGACATATTGAAGGACTTACGCAACTATATCGTGATATTTTTCAAATTTTCGATGTAAATGTGCAAATCCTCCACTTGGCTGTGAAGCAATAAGCTTATAGTTGAAACAAAAAGAAGAGAATAATTACGTATCATATATGAATAATGCAATTTTGTTAACAATAACTTTATGAGAAAAACTAATTACAGACAAACTAATTGAAAGTTTTTTAAAAGGTTGAGATTATCCACAACGTATCCATGATCAATAGTTGTGTTGTAACTTTTCAAGCGTATTACGTCCATTAAATGGATGTTGGTAATTCTGTTTGCACCCCTTATCTTTCTTTCCTATCTAATTCTTTTTTGCGTATTAAATTATACTACTTAATAATTTTCAGTACTTAACTTGGTTTCGACAAATTTTTAAGCACAGCGCGTAACATATTTTCGTGAGTCAATTGAAGCTAAACCACCATGGAAAATCTGAAAGCACTGGACGGCCGTTCTGTCCTATTGTGGGACTCCTCAGCAGTGCGCATCCACGATCCCACCTCGCGAGATTCAAACCCAGGACCTATCAGTCTCGCGTGCGAGCGCATAACCACTAGACCACTAGACCACGGTATTAATGTCTAACTTCAACTAATCCACAAAATTGAGTGACACATCCACACACCACAATTCTTGTGTTCTTAGTCATCATTTCGAATGTTGTGTACAACTATGGTTCTGGATCCAGGTGTGCTGTCTATATCGTCTGTTTTGTAAATAAACTCGATATAGATATTTCGGGAAGTGTTTTTTTAGAATTGTACACTGATGCGATGAACACCATAGACACCTGATGAATGGAGGCTTAAAAATATCTTGCATATATTTTCTTAATGATGGTACCGAGGACAATGGGAGATGGTAGCACAATATTTTGAACTGATTACAGTTATACGTATACACCGTTGGATCCAGGCTCAGTGACCTAGAGGTTAGGGGTTTTCTCACAAGACCGAAGATCCTGGGGTAAGGTTCTTGAATGAGTGGATAGACAACCTAGAGTTAGCAAACATCCTAACCAGCAAGTAGTCTACATATCCCGACAAAATTCATTTCAACAGTCAATGGTTTCACGTATTGATTTCACGTCTTAGTTTGCTGGTACTTACTTATTTTCAATCTATTCCTGTTCTATCGAGAATAATTTGTCAAGGTACGAGATGACCAACACCATGCGTAATACATATATTAACTACAAAAGTTGATCAAGATTCACAGTCACAGAAGGCAACTTATACTGTTTAGTGAATACATCATACGAGCTACCGATGTTATCGAAGGTAACACACAACCCGAAAGTGAGATATTAGGGTTATATATAGGCAGAGAGATAGTATTCATTCGTATATCAAGAGATTACAAATGTGATTACGTAACAAACATGTTACCAGATTAAAAAAATCAATACTTACAATAAGACCATATTCCTGTGTTAGGCATGTATCGATTCGGTTGACCTGAAGGTGAATTTAAGCAAGAGTAATAATAATAATATTATTATTACTGTTATCAACATCTTGGGGAGTATGTATACATATACAACGCATAGACCAATAAGCGAAGGTCCAAGATTGCATAATATTCTGTCTCATATCAAGTACTAGTTCACTCATGATTACAAGTAGTACAGTTTACTGAAGAATGCCAAACTTACTTACGCTTGTTACCCCACGTGGAGGAGCATAGGCTGCCTACCAGCACCCTCTATCCAACTCCGTCCTGAGCAATCCTTTCCAGTTGCTATTCATCCTTTTCATGTCTTCTTCCAATTACCGACGTAGTGTGTTCTCTGGTTTTACTCTTTTCCGTTTCTCTTCAGGATTCCAAGTTAACGCTTGCCTCGTGGTGCAGTTTGGTGACCTCCATAATCTATATCCTATCCAATTTCACCGTCTTTTCCTAATTTCCTCCTCAGATGGAAGCTGGTTTGTCCTCTCCCACAGCAGTCTGTTGCTGATGGTACCCAGTCAATGGAAATTGAGTATCTGGCGTGAACAATTGTTTATAAATACTTGTACCTTTTTGATGATGTTTGTAGTAGTTCTCCATGTTTCAGCTCCACACAGTCGGACTGTCTTCACTTTCGTATTGAAGATTCTCACTTTGATATTGGTTGATAGTTGTTTTGAAGAATATCAACTAGCACGAAATCTTTGTTTAGGGTACCTTGTCGATGACCCACAACCATTCAATATTTCATGGATACAAAAAAGTTTTCCTAACTACAATTAAAGAAGAGTAGCTGAAGCTTTCCATATAATGCTCAATCCTACTGCTCTCAGTAGAAAAGAGGGCCTAACTATACATCTGACTTGGACTATCTATCCAAGCTACCATGTCAGATGTCATTCACATTTCACACTATTATCGTACCACAAAGGTCACATTTTTAAATCCCTGACCTTGTACACATACACACACATTTACATACATGTCGCTTACAAATGACCTTAACCGAAATGACATGACATTGACTTGTTCAGACCTGTTTTTTGATTGATTGCACATAATATTCTTGCTTTGTTTCTTTGTACTGTCTAAACTTGGATTAATTTTGATTTGGTTATTTATTCTCTGAAGAAGTGGCTTACGCTGAGTCACGAAACTCATTGGGATATTACAGATATAATCGGAGAGGCGTTTTGTGGATATTATAGCAATTTAATAATTGAATTCATGAGTCAATTGAAGCTAGACCACCATGGAAAATGGCTCATTGGTCTAGAGGTTGAGCGCTCGCGTGCGAGATTGATAGGTCCCAGGTACGAATCTCGCAAGGCGGAATCGTGGATACGCACGGCTGAGGAATCCCATGCTAAGATGAAACAGCCGTCCAGTGCTTCCAGGTTTCCCATGATAGTCTAGCTTCAATTGACTCATGAATTCCATTATTATATTACAAATATATATATTTTTAAGTTGTAGCTCTTTGTTACGGCCATAATTGACTTTTTAGTTGTTCTTTTTAATTTGAACATAGAATTCACATTTAATTCGATCACCTTTTTTAAAAAAAAAACTTTAGTAAGGGTTCGAGCACAGGACGAAACAGGCGCTACTCAAATCCAACTGTCAGACATGTTCTATTTATTCCATAACGTTTGTGAACTTCGTTTGAATTCTTATTATATTTGATACATAATCGCAATATACGTAGTTTACGTTAAAATTTAAGTAATTTCATCTCTTTAAAAGAACGAAAAATTCACTATATCATCATTGGTCAGTCGGCTAAAACGTAGGACCAGGCACATATATGCACCGTTCCAAGTTGTTACACCTCATTAGCACAACATGATGGACACCGGGTTCATAAAAGTAGTTAATTCAGTTGGGATAATATATAAAAGAAAGATTGCATATAAGGATATGATACAGGAAGAAAGAATTAGTATGTAGAAAGATATGAAGCCATTTTAATCTCATAGTTTAAGGGAAGACAAAGAGTGTATACACCTACACCATTGTGATCGATTCTGAGCCATGTCACCAAGAGTCTCCAACCATTGGTTACGATAGTCACACGGACCCCAACCAAGTAGTTTGCATCTACTAACATGGCTCACACCACAAGTTAGTGACCTCAAGCACTGATGCCACGTTTTGGTTTAATGGTCCCTAACTTTCTTCCAACCATTCCCAACACCGGTGAGCATTGCGCATCGTGGTAATCGGTGTTCAGGCATACGCAGCACGTGGTCCAATTATCTCAGTCGATGAAGATTCACAACCTCATCAACTGATTTACCATCATTCTTTAATATACTGCGTCTAACCTCATAATTTACCTGATGATCCACGTAGATGTGAGCTATATTTTTAAGACATCTGTGGTCAAATACTAGTAGCTTACGAGTATCTTCTATCCTTAATGGTCACGTTTCACAGCCGTAAACTAAAATAGAACGAACTGCTGCACAGTATATTCGCCCCTTAATTGATAGACGGATATCTCGCGTTCGTCATAGGTGACGTAAGTTGACAAAAGCCAAACGAGCTTTCTGAATCCGTGCTGAGATTTCGTCAGAAACCAACCCATTTGGGCTGATCAGATATCTAAGATAAGTGAAGTGGCCTTAAAAGTCTGGTCAGCCCAAATGGATTGGTTTCCGAAGAAATCTCAGCACGGATTCAGAAAGCTCGTTTGGCTTTTGCCAACTTACGTTACCTACATCATCAAGCAAAATAACGATAGAGTTAAACGAAGAATAATTTCGTCTTCCAACAACTTCATTTACTATGAAAGTATTATATTTTCATTCAAGGCAGCTAGTAATAATACAATGAAATATCATGGATCCATGTTAGTCTGCTTGAAGCTTCGGTTTTATTTTGTGGAAATCCTAAACTATTCTTGTTACTTTTTATAGTTGAATTTATGAGTCGATTAAAGCTAGACCACCATGAAAAGCCTGGAAGCACTGGACGACCATTTTGTCCTAGTATGGGACTCCTTAGCAGTGTGCATCCGCGATCCCGCACGCGAACTCGAACCCAGGACCTTTGGTCTCAGTCTCGCTTTAATCGACTCTTGTATTCAACTATTAAAAACTACTACAATATCCACAGGACTCCATTCTGATAATCTTTTTATTATGGTGATCTCTATTGAATGTGCCATTTCAGGATAACATGTATATTTGGATAATTCGTAAGGCACATTTTGAATTTATTTAATTCAGTCTTTTTTTAATTGCATCAATATGAACATCAACACAGGGATTCAAGTGAATACAGCTGACGAAACTCGCACTATGGATTCCACTGACGGCTGTGAATTATCTATCTCCTATCAATATTAATTTGTTTTAATTGCTAACCAGCATCTGACCAATGATTTCAAAATACCGCAAAGTTCTAATTGATTAAATTGTTCAGTCGCAGTTCATAAAGAGCCTAGAACAAATGCATCTTAGTCTAAGTTGTCATACAACATCAGTAAAAAGGGTAAAAATTTACAAAATAAATAGGGAAGAGATTAAAATAATTGTATTATTAGGGACAATAAGAAAAAACTAACACTGGAAATATGGTTCTAGAAGATGAAATGAAAAGAAAGTATGTATGAAAGAGGTGAATAAAGAGCGAATTTACTTATTTTACTGTGATTGATTTTGAGCCACATCACCCTAAATTTCAAACAATTGGTCAAGATAATCGCCTACGCCATGATTAGTACATAGTGGCAAACACCGACCAAGCTTCTTGAAATCTTACTGATATTTCAGACACAATCTAGTATGGTGATGATGAGAAATGTTACCCGGAAGTATTCGGTGTCGATTAATGAGTTTCCAGGGGGGAGGGTCAAAGAATTGGGAGCAGGAACAAGTGCCGATGGACTGGAAAAAAGAACACCTCATTAAGATTTCAAAGAAAGGAGATCTGAGCAAATGTGAAAACTACAGAGGCATTACACTACTGTCAGTACCAAGGAAAGCCCTCAACAGAGTGTTGCTGGGCCGGATGAAAGACAGCAGACGCCCAACTTCGAGATCGGTCGTGCACAGACCAAATCGCGACACTACGGATCATCGTCGAACAATCAGTTGAGTGGGACTCGTCACTATAAATCAACTTCACTGATTATGAGGCGTTTGACAGTGTAGATAGAAGAACATTATAAAAACTTTCTCGAGACTATGGAGTCCCTGAAGGGAAGCGGAAAAAAGGAAGGCCAAAGAAAACATCACGTCGGGAAATAGAAGCAGATATGAAAGGGATGAATAACAACTGGAAAGGATTGCCCAGGACAGGATTGGATGGAGAGTGTTGGTGAGCGGCCTATGCTCCTCCACGACGAGTAACAGGTGTAAGTAAGTAGGGTGAATGATTAATAGCTGGAAAGTTAGATGAAGAAAGTGTGATTTTTGAGAAGATATCTGTAATGAAGTCAAATAAAAAAGGAGATAGTGGTAAATCTTGAAGAACACCATTTGAAGTTAAAGGTTCTGATAACGGTAAACTATAAGCACTGATCAGACTAATAATGTTTAATTAAGAAGGATTCAAAAGGTTTACGCACTTTTCCGGTTAAGCTTTTAATGAGAAATACGACTATGAAATCTCACACTTAACAGAGTAGAACACCACTACAATATCGAGAAATATAATTATAGTCGAGCATCGGGTAAGAGGATACCTATGCTTCAAGAAAGTCAATTATCCCATTTTCAACAAAATTAAACAATCACATTTGTATGAACAATCTACCTGACCAGCTAATTCCCATTTTATTAATAGGATAAATTCTCCTAAATTTGATACTTTGTTTGATGATGTTTTAGATTTATCATCAGTTGGTTTAAATGAACACCATGAATATAATCGAACAACACGATCAGAATGAGCTACTGCAATTTCTCCTAAAATAAAAAAAAGAAACGAAGAAGAAATTTTACAATCGATCACTTGAAATGATTCCGACTTATCTACATTATGATCACTATCAATTAGATGTGCCAAGATAGAACTGTGTATTGTTTTTATATGGCCCTTCATAAACCAAGCCGGGAGATGTTCACTCATTCGTTGTTTAAGTTGCCTGATAGTATACCCGATATAGTTATCTCCACAGGAGCAGCTGAATTTGTAAATGCACATTGAGGAGGCCAACTCACGTAGACATCGTTGGTCGACTCGAGAAAGTCAACGCAAGATTGGCTGCGTAAAATGTCCTGCTAATTACTTTCGCTAACCTATATTTCAGATTATCACTAGCCATATCCCCGTTTGATATGATAATAATATATTATTTAAACATAAACATTGATACGAGGAGGCATCGAATAGATATGCGCCACATAAACAATTCGATTTGTGTGAGGGGTGGGATACCGTCCGGGCGCCCAAACCGAAGCAGGTGGTTTTCTTAGGGGGCCACACCCCAAGCCTTCAACCTAATGGTCTGATCCACAAGGCAGTGGAGTAACGTCAGGAGATGCAGTCCCATGGTAGCCGGCGACTAACAATTGGTTCATAAGCCTTTTGTTCCCTCAGGATCCTGGAGCCCATGTACACGACTGGTTTGGAATCAGCGTTTTCCAACTCCCCTAGGCGGACTCTCTGTGTCCATCAACCCGGTTAAAGTGCCGGACATTCGCTTTTTATCCTCTCAGTTTCGTAAAGAACAATAATGCCGTGAAAAGGCAATGAGTAGGACTTCCCTGACAGTGATTGTATGCACGTGGCCATGTGAGAGCATTTCAAGAGGGTGAGTGGACTATCCCCACTCTCGGCCGTATCAGGGTATTTTGGGGCAACAATATATTATAAAATCCAGCATTCCATTAACAAATGACAACTAAGTAGGTCAACTGGGTTTTAGAGGTGAACTGAATAACTTTCGTATCATGGCACTGGATTTGTATAAAATTACGTTGTATGGGAAAGTATTATTTGACACGGAGTCATGAACAAATTAGGTAATTGCATAAGTCACTACGGAATACACTGCTTTCCGTTTGAACTTATGACAAACATTGTCATTTGAATATGAATTATTTGTCAATATAGTTTATCTGACTAATACAAATCTTCGTAGATTAATGAGTAAAGAGATCTGATTATTTTTTGGTCATAATATTTCTGAAGCGCATCATCAAAATGAATCTACAGATCTTTATTGTCTAGATACAAACTTGAAACATAAATACCAATGAGTCTTTCATACTTACATAGTGAATTATGTGAGGGTTATGGGAGCATAAACCAAACCAATTAGGTAAGCTAGACGTTTATACGTTATTGGCTAACCTGAATGTTTAATATAGAGAGCAGTAGCAAATTAAGACGTTACATTACTATACTTGATAGTAAGTAAGGTAGATTTAGATTAGAAGCATTCTTTTTTTGGTCTTAGAATTTATGTGTAACATTCACTTGCAACCCAGTTGTTTGAACTTCTTTAGGTGAAGATTGAATTCGTTAACACCATCTTGACACTAGAAACTCTCGATCATTGCGCAACACTTGTGAGGAATACTTCCATCACCTTGAAGGAAGCGAACATAACTTCCATAGTTGAAGCTATATATATAAGACACACCAAAAGAGGATTTCGATATGTCAGTCAGCTACAACGTTAGACCAGGCACATATGTACATCGGTCTAAGTTGCCATACTGCATTAGAACGGCAAGATGAACACCGGATTCATAGAAGTAGTTAAGTCAATGGTAGTAATACGTAAAAGAAAGATTGTATATAAGGATATAATACGGGGAGAAAGAATTAGTAAGTAGAAAGATATGAAGCCATTTTAATCCCATAGTTTAAGGGAAGACATAGAGTGTATACACCTATGCCATTGTGATTGATTCTGAACCATGTCGCCAAGAATCTCCAACCACCGGTTAAGATAGTCACACGGACCACAACCAAGTACTTTGCATTTACCAACATGGCTCACACCACAAGTTAGTGACTTTATGGACTGATGCCACGTTTTGGTTTGACCACTCCTAAACTTCTACCAACCATTCTCAACACCGGTAAACATTGCGCGTCGTGGTAATCGGTGTTCAGGTATATGCAGCACGTGGTCCAACCATCTCAGTCGATGAAGAATCACAACCCCATCGACTGATTTACGGTCATTTCCTAATACCCTGCGTCTCACCTCACTATTAGTTACCCGATGATCCCAGTTGATGTGAGCAATATTTCTAAGGCATTTCGATATAATTTACTAATCCTATACACCACTGAACCATGTTACGACAATCAGAGGCAAAAACCCAGTAATGAATCCATCAACCAAGTAATTTAACACAGAGAAAATACAATTAACCTTAGATAGTATTAACAAGTTAAGAACTCAAAAATACATTTTTTATATTATTCCATAACCTATCAATCTTACCTTCATTAAATATACAGACATCTTTGGCATTGTAAGCTAATTCTTGATGATGAACCATTTTTAATGTATCAATTTCTGCTTTGATAGTTTGATCAGGCTTTGAAGAACCATGAACGTTAACTTTTTGTTTAGATTTACTTGAAATATTTTCCTATAGATGTGTAAAAATACAGACACTTATGAATAAAGTTTTTTCAAATCTATTGAGTGTAAATTAACAGAAATTATTATTTTCATAATGATACATGAAATACCTATATTATCAAATAACAGACAATGGAGGTAAATATACTAAGTATTAACAAGGTCGTCATGACTACTTAATTTAATTATGTAGTGGTGTGTGATATGATGTTTTAGGTATGGATAACAATGAATAAAACAACGTCCTCTGGAAATTATGTAATAAACATGTGATAAAACCAACATAAGGGCTATGGCCTAGGATCTTAAGTATTTGATATGCATTGACCACTGACTTATATGTTAAAAACTCGCTTCATTCATTTCGGTTTGGATGACCAGGTAGCATATTTAACCCTTGCAAAACGTTAAGACTAACCCTGAACTTTCTGGATACGTTTACTGCTTCAGCATGACAGATCAAGAAGGTGGAAAAAGATTTTCTTAACGATGTACTACCGGTCTGCAGTACGAGACCTAGCTACATAAAATTTATCGGTAGTGTTAAGTAATGAGATATAAAAATGAACTTTGTCGGGGACAAAAAGAGGCAATAAAATATTTGAAACAACAATGTCCTACTACGTAGTCCATAGTTTATTTTTAGTCGAAGACCATATCATCTACCATCCGTCTACTAAGTGTTTCCAGTCAGATGCAATGAATCATAATTGTTACTCGTATTATTACCGACTGGAGAGTTTTGGTGATACTCGAATGCAACAACTGGTTTAATTACAAGGTGGAAGGACATATGGAGTACAGAAAAAAACTGTGGAAAGATTCATTCGAAGGACGGAGAAAACTGAATCTAAAGCTGAAATCCCTGAGTTGAATCGTTAAGTGATAGATATGCATTGCTGAGAAGTCCTAGAACAAGGACGAATAACTATTACGGTTTTCGAGAATTCATTTCACTTACATTAGCTTATTAAGAAAATCGCACGCTTTTTTGAAGAAAACATCAACTTATTTGTCATGAATGCATTAATATTAAGTATAGAAATGATAACTTACAGATTCTGGAGCGAGAGCACAAGCATCAAATGCATAGCAATGTGAATCAGCGCACAAAGCTATGATCCATGTCTAGAAAACAATTCATTCAAACAAATAAGTCCATCAGAATGGACTCACTAACTTCATCGGGTTTGTATATACTACCTGCCGTAACACACGAAACCTGTAAACAAAGTCGAAATCCTCTTTTTAAGTGGAAAAGACGAACATACCATGCCAAGATGATAAGATGCCTTCCATACCTTCCTATACTTTAGTACATGGACGGAACCCTCACTATTTGCTGCATTGGCTTCTCCATTTTCCAGTAAGGGTCCAGAATCCCAAGAGCCAATTATCAATTCATTATCCTGAGCAAATGAGAAAAAACATTTTTTCTTAGAGGGATGTTGCATACACACTCGCGTATAAATGGTGATAAATCCGTCCACATAATAAACTGGGCAATAGGGGTTATATGAGTACCATCGATGCACCATAAGCTTTTTGAAATCAAACCGAACAACATGAAATGCAGCCTCTGACCCGAATACTGAGTGTCTAATAGCTAGGACATTAGACTACAGCTCCAGTTAGGATGTGATGACATTTACATAATATTTGAAACCGAATTTTCACAACTACTACGAAAGGCATTAGCACAACAATTAATGGGATTCACATTAGTTCCGGCTGGTAGTTATGAGATATTTACTACAAACGCCAGTGTGACATGTGCTAAAAAGGTGCAGGAAGCTTCTACACTGATATTTAATTCTACCTAGCGAATTATGATAAATAGTACCAATGAGGACGGAATCAAAAACTAAAATCAGTTTAAATGGTACCTAAAGGCTAGTGTAATCTGTGTTGGTAGGCACAGATCTTTAGGCTAAGGTAAAGAAAAGGATAAGTATGAAGTAACTGAAAAGTAGTCTCAATGGAGCAGATGTAGCCGTTATTTATCTTCCCATAGACTATGGGTTTTGATGCTGTTCCGTACATTCTTCCCCTTTTTTTGCTTACTCTTCGTTATATTTGACTGTGGTCATTATTGATACCACTACCTCAGCTTTTTCCAGTTTCACTGTTGAATCAAAGTATGAAGACCCGTCAGATGCGAGTTTGTAACGAATTCTACTTCAGCTGATTTTCTGGCTATTGGTAAGACAAAACTGTCCGGTTGCTGGGGGGGGGGGTGAGTTTAAACCTCAAAAATTCGAAAGATGTGTAGATATTTTAGTCTCATTTAAATGAGCTTAATTAAGCTCACAGAAACTTATTTCAGCAAAATTTCAACACCAACTGGCAGGGAATTCTTAAAAATATCCACTGTTCAGTGAGCTTTAAGGTGGAATAGTCCTAATTAGGCTAAATATCATCATATACATCGCATATTAATTTAAACCTTGTGAAACATGGGCTTATTGACAAGTAGGAATAAAGATAAGGTATAATAATACCACAGATTACCCCATCATTATCCACATCGTATAAGCAGAGATTACGTGAGTTGCTGGTATAGATATCTTTAAAAAATACACGATCGACCAAGCTTAATGAGCGCATCCGAATATCCGCTTAACCCGACCTTCAGACGTTGTAGGTCGAAATATGACCCTAAATATCCAGTTTCAAATATATTCAGGTTCAGATGCATGTACTGAGAACAGAAGGCAGACAGTCTGTAGTGGGTTTTTATAATAAGCTTATGCGAATGTATAAACGTCCCTTGAGTGAGACATATAAGAGTGCAGACACCAAAAGTTGATAACTCGGTTTGATAATACTTATGCTACATGTATTCTGTTTGTTCTTGGTTTTTGAACTTGCCTATTATGAGTTGTACTGATCTTGTAAGAGTAAAAAGAGAGGATGTGTCAGGCCCAAAATCATTTCTAACAGTTCTTTACATCAAAATTAGATCACCTTTTAATCTGAAGGAGGACCGATTAGAGAGGTGTAGCTTATCAAGCAATCCTGTATAAAGTAAACCATAAAGTTCTGAAATCAGATGGGTATCGGCCCACTTTATTTTTTCCAAGATACCAGACTCTTTCTTTAAACGGGGAATTTCAGCCTGAAGACAGTTTTCTAGTTTCGATCCCGCCAGGGGTGTGCACATTGATGGACACGCATATGTTCAACTTCATCGATGTTGACCTTGATGCCAAGAAGTTTCGAAATGATTATTTGAAACTGCCCTATAGTTACTTGTGGTCTTAGAGTCTTATCTCACTATTGCCTCTAGATCACTGTTGTAGTGGGTACTGGTGTTTACCCAATGCTGTAATTATTTGCTTCTGTAGCCCGGATTTGTATACAAGCACAGTCGGACCTGCTGATAAGGATCATTGGCACTTGAGTTCAGCCAACCAGAACATCCAAGTCGATCTAAAATGCACATGTAGCTGCACCTCTTGTTACTTCTCGCTAAATATTGACATCAGCATAAACCTAACATCGCTCTGGAGTTTAATTATACATAGAATATAAAGTAAACGACTTATAACAGCCATGCAGTTTTCCACTAAGTACTGGTTTTCACGAGATACGTTCGAAATTCATCTTAAATTCCTGTTGACAACCCACTAAAAGGTTTCTGATACACTATAGTAGAAATTAAGAAATTCCTCAATTCTCCAGGTTCCAAAGAAGTCTAGTATGTGGCACTTAGTCAAGTCACTGACTTATATCCTATATATTATAGTTACAGCGTTAACAACATATCATGCGATGCATCACATGACGTTAGGACTAAACTCATACAGTCCTGTTGACCTTCTGCAATGTGCAGATGACGCACTGAGAAATTCTCGTTGCGTTGATGAAGAAACCCGTGGCTGTGTCCGTCAACTTGCATTTTGGAACTCCTTGTTATTTGATGCTTCGTTGCGCTCTTGTTCGTTTTCCTTTTAGCTCTTCATGCATTGGTTTCCCTATTTTCTGTGGCGTTTTGAGGGCTCACATTAATGGTTCTATTCACGTCTGATACCGAATCATGGATATCACTCACTAAATCCTCGAGAAATGACAGTTGCTTCGTATAATTTATAGTTTGCTTTTCATTTGAAAAAAGCTTTCAAACAGTGTTCAGCAGCTCAACTGCTTCGACAATTAGCAGAAATCTTGAAGATGCCACAGGTATTCGGAGTTTGAAAACGCTTTAACCCAGCAACACCTAATATGAATCGTATCCACCCAGTGAAATCAAAAGACAGAAGCGAGGAGGTTCGAAGATATATTTGATGGGCTATCAATATATCGACGATCATCTGATCTAATCTGGCTAGCGATTTCAGGGGTTGTTGAGCACGGCGTTCTCACTCGTGATCTGGTGCGGATGCATGACCGAGCGCCTTCAGCTAGGTGAGTCCACTAAAACTAATGTGGTCAGTATCCAATGTCGAAAGCCTACAGAACTATTTATTTTGGGGATTTTTTTACAGCTACAGATCACTTCCCCCTAGTGGGTTGGTAATGACCCTAAGACGTGGCCAGCCAGAAGCTTAAACCCAACGAGTTTGTTATTGGTAAACACTCTTCTGATATCTTGCTAGGTTTAGCATCGTCTGGTCGTGCTTCCTCACTATAAGTGACCATGAAGTACAATATAGTAAAAAAATAATGTACAATGAGAAATTTGGTTCCTCGTAAACCTCATCGTTCTTTTGATCTTCTTTTCCAGCCATCCTGGAAAAGAAAAAAAGAATATGTAAGTGCATGTCGAAATAAACTCGTACGCGGTTTAAGACACAAAGTGGGCGGAAAAAGGGAAAATAAACTCATACGCATGTGATAGCGTAAAATCGATTTCTACAAAGTGTTTTTTAATTTTTAATATACATATTAGCAAAATAATAGATATATATAAATATAAGCATATGAAACTTGATTTTTTAATATTTTATATAATGCTGTGGAAAATCGAGATGAAGCAAAATGTTAACTGGTGTTTTACGTGCAGTAGTCGTTTAAATGTTCTGGAAATCACACGCTTTTTCCAGAACGCGTCGTTTTAGGTTTATTTTCAGATTCTGTTGAAGTATCGTCGTGTGTGTTGGCTTTCGGATGAGGTATTATAAGTGTGGGAGTCGTGTCATTCGATTATACTAAAGGAACATCGACGTGTATGGGATTTCCTTCTAAATACTCTGTTTTGAGGCGATCGATGCTAATGCTATCGTTTGTTCCACTCTTATCGGCTATGTAGTACTAGATCCGCGTTGAAGAACTTTGAAAGGTCCTTGATTTACTGATTCGAAAGGTCGTCGATGCGAGTCTCGACGTACGAAGACGTGTGTACTATATCGTAAGTCAGGTTGAACGAAAACATCGGTTGACTGAGGTCGAGTGGTAACAGGTTTAACTGAACGCATTGCGTTCGTAAGCCTGTTCGTGTAGGAGGTTAGATCCATGCCCATTGAAGAGGATGAAGGATCCACGAATTCTCCTGAGAGTCAAAGTATCGTTCCATAAACCAGTTTATCCGCAGTGTATCCAATGTCAGCTTTCACTGCATTGCGAATACGTAGTAAGACGAGTGGAAGAGCTCCGGTCCACTGTGAAACGTTTGCAGCTGATTGTGAAGCTTTTAGTTCTACTAACCCATTTGCTTGTGTGTGGTAGGTGGTCTTTTGGAAGCGAGTGATTCCTAAAATTGTAGTCAGATAACGGAAACGTTCAGATTCGAACTGACGTCTGCGGTCCGTAGTGGTAGTTGAGGAACAGTCGACGTTTGTTACCCATCGTTCGACGAAGGCGCGGGTCACTGTTTGAGCAGTGATGTCCTTGATAATTACTGGCCATCGTGTGAAATGGTCTACGCAGGTTAAGAGATAAGAGTATCCATTTGAATCTGGTAAAGCTCCTACCGAATCCGGATGAACATGATCGAAACGAGCATCAGGAGTTTTTAATGAGCCTTAGGGATATTTGTTGTGTCCGGCAACCTTAGATTTTTGGCAGCCTACACAGGGGTGTGCCGACTCTTTCACGTCTTTATTAACACCAGGACAGCAAAACCGTTCTGCTGTAGGCTTGATTGTTGCACGAACACCTTGGTGAGAAAGTTTGTGCAACGTATTAAAGACGTTGCGTCGATAACGTTTTGGCACGATTGAGCGATCCCTATCTGTAGATGTGTCTCAAAGTAAGGTTTCCTTACCTGTTCCCACTTATTTGATGCGTAGCTTGAGTGTTGTAGATGATAATTCGTGCTGAAGGTCAATGTCTTCTTTTTGAAGCTGGGAGGGTTTCAGAAGGCCGATTCCTTGGAAACTGTTCAAGGAAGTTATTCGAGGCAAGGCGTCTGCAACTACATTGTTTGCTCCAGAAATGTGTTGAATGTATGAAGGTGAATTCACAGCCTTGAAAATGCCATACGGCACAATACATAGCAAGGAGTTCCCTACCGAATGTGCTGTACCCCGATTCAGTGTCTAGAAACCTTCTATAGAAAAATGCCAAAGGTTGCCAGGAGTTGTTAGCCCATTGTTGTAAAACTCCTCCGATTGCTGAGTCAGATGCATCTACTGCAATACTAATGGGTGCTCGGGTGTCCTGATGAGCAAGCATTGTTGCTTGAGCGATAAGTCCCGTAATTGTGGAGGATGCTTTTCGTGCGGTGTCGTCCAAATTAATGGATTTCGCATTTCCACGAAGTTCGTCAGTAAGAGGTTTCATAAGTAACGCTCATTTCGGTATAGACCGTCTATAGAAACTTACAAGGCCGTTAAACGTGCGTAATTTCTTGATGGTGTTGGGTTTTGGGTAAACCAGAATTGCCGCCACTTTTGTTCTAAGGGGTCGAATGCCTTGAGCATCCATAGTGCGTCCTAGAAAGTCCAGTGAGTCAGTTTCGATTCGGCCTTTCTGAATGTTTACAGTAATGCCATGTTTTTGTAGTCGTTCGAAAACAAAATCCAGATGCTTGAGATGTGATTCTCTGTCTGGACTGGCTATTAGACAGTCGTCAGCATACGCGTGTACGAAGTTGAGACCTCGAAAGATATCGTCTATGAAACTTTAGAAGTTTTGTGCAGCGTTTCTTAGACCGAAAGGCATTCGCAAAAATTCGTAGAGTCCGAAGGAAGTTATGATAGCTGTTTTCGGAATATCGTCAGTAGCCTTAGGGATTTGGTTATACACTTTAACCAAGTCGATTTTCGAAAAGACAGTTTTATCTTTCAAGGTAGCTGTCAAATCGTGAATGTGAGACAACGGGTAACGATCGGGAATGGTTTTCGCATTCTTTAGCTTTTCGGAAGTCAGTCGGCGCGCTTTCGAGAATACAGGAGCTCCTGTGGTCGTGATGTGATGTGTAACATTACTGGTTACACATGGTAATTTCGTTTGCGTTTGGTGTATCCCAGGATATTTATCGAGTATTGGTTGATAAAATGAGTCCATCGGATGCCTAGTCTTGACTGGAGATAATCTGCAACCAGAAAAAGGAGTTACGCTAACAGATAAATTAGTGTTTCCGTCTACTAGCCTCCGTTTGCGCGTATCGATGAGTAAATTGTGGTGTTGTAGAAGGTCTATACCAATGATTGGCATGGAAACATCTGCAACAACGAAAATCCAGTGAATGGGTTTGCG